GAAAGAGGGCGCTGCGTTTGTAGCAGCGAGATAATTGGTATTGGGTTTTCTTCCAAAACTAAATGGTATTCTCTCTCGTTTACGTGCAGCGAGGTGTGAATCGTTACTAGCATATGTATAGTCGCTTCCTATGGCAGTCACACACCACACGAGGAGGTAAATTTACATCAGAAAATAATTATTAACTTGTAATTTTTGGCAAAACAGAAATTTCTGCAGAGTTCCCGGGGTCGATTCCTGTCGCTACCAGATTTTCTGGGAAGTAGTTCGTCTGGAACGGGGTCCACTCATCCTCGTGAAGATAATTGACGAGCTATTTGAATGGAAAAGTAGCGGCTCCGGAATAGAAAACCGAGATTAACGGCCATGGAGAACCGTTGCGCTGACCACGTGACACCCTCTATCTGCTAAAGTTTGTACTAACTTCACCGACAAGCGGCGGTCGCTCGGTCGGTATAGTTCGCTTGCGGACTACAGGCCACGGAGTTTTTTTTATGATGAAGCTTGTAAATAATTTTAATATTTCTACAGAGCACATTGGCATTTCTCCCGATGAGTGGCTGCGTCTGCACCTGTAAACTTATGAACGTACAAACGGTGTCCAGAGTTGGCCAGCTGCAATTGTGAATTCTGAATGTAAAGACTGAAAACATTATATTATTCAGAAACAATTATAACAATCTTAACCGCCATATTACATAAGAATATTCATGTATCCTTAATGTAAATACAGTGGTCATGGAGGAACATGTGCTATTAAGAACATATTTTTGTGTACGATAAAATTCGTAACAGGTTATTCCCATAACATTAGTCCTTCCTTGAAAAATAATTTGACAATACATATTTCTGATAACAGGCCATATTTATATATACTCTGATAAAGGCAGATTATTAATAACACTTGCATAAGAAAATAATATATTCCTTATTTGATTATCTGGACCTACATTTTTGAACTTTGGTTACCATTACGTTCAGCCATCGAGTGCTTGCAGTACTTTAACACACTGAATCATCAACAATAAAATGATAATGTAATAGTAGCCGTAATAATAGAATGAAATCCATTTTTATTTATGTGGTACATAATAAGAACAGCTACAAACATATAATCATAATTTCTATAATGTTTCCAAACATGAAGTTTGCATAATTACATCAGAACTAATGATAAACGTCATAAAAATTCAATATGCACGACCGTAATAATAGATGAGATGACGTCATACAAAGATCTGAGGTGGATAAGAGCCATAACATTGAGGGAGTTTTTTAATTAAGTCTTGAGCTTCAGTAATTTGGTCGCCATATTTGTTGAAATGGTACCGACTCATTCAGTTACAACATTTTAATAATATGGACTAACAGAAGCTGCTTTTAGACTTAATAAAACAAATTATAATTCATATTAGTTTTATAATAAAATGTTAACTGCATGGGACAGAGCCCTGCTTGAGAAGCTGATAGTCAAATAGCGGGTAAAGAAATCTCTAGATTCTTATGGAACCAGAAGCTTCATTATTGTACTCACTGCAGCCCATTATTGGATCCTCCCGAAGCCAGTTTAATCTAGTAGTTACTATAGGATTCTGACGATGGTGTTTAACACATTGAGATATTGGGTTTTCGGACCTTATCCATCGTCCTGGTTTTAAGATAACTAAGAAAAAGACGACGTTTCGGAAACTGGATCTGTTTCCGTCCTCAGGTGAGGTAAAACACCTATTCTGTTGGGTCCCTTAGAAAGAGCTAGCCTCAATCACTGGTCCAGTGATCTGGATCTGTAGCCAGGAACGCTGACCACTAGACCACAGAGGCAGTCTCTAGATGCTGATAGCATGCACGCACACCAGACCATAACATGTTCTCCTGTTGCACTTGCGCACCTCTCACCAAAGCCATATTTGTAATGGCGGTCGGAATAAAGTGTTTCTGTATTTCGTAAATCTGTACCACTGTCACGATATATCAGATATTGGAAGCAAAATGCTGTCGCTAATGGCAATTGTTTCGGCTCCATTGGTAATTCATCAATCAACATGGTTTATATTTGTTTGCCTATGGTCACGATGCATCGTCACGGTATCTAAAATTATACCACGATTTTTATATTTATGACCCACATAACCTATACTGAATTACCCCACCGCCGTTTTGTATTGTCATGTCTTGACCCACTTTCATAGCATGTAGCTCTAAACCTACTGAAACGCACTGAAACTTACTGAAACAATGTGGAACAGTTCAAAGTTAATCCATCATGTATGAATTTTGATTTTTCCTTAATATTCCGAAAATTCAATGTGCATAAGTTACTTTTAATCTGAAGCAAAAACCATTTTCGTGTTGATTTTCGTCTTAGGTCTTGATATCTTGTGGTTGTGGGCATATTGCCAACGTTACGGATATAAATGCTGTCCTCTCTTCGGGTTCGACTATGACGAAGGAGCCAGCAGGTATCTCCGAAACGTCGGCGGCACTACCTATATGAACACAGTGTAAAGATATGTAAAAAAAACAAATGTGAAAATTGAACCACGGTGAAAACCTAAAATCACTTAAACTTTTCTGATATTCGAGATTTGAGGTTGTAACGGCGGTGATAAACTTTTGTGATATTACTCCGTTTAGTCTGCTAGAGTTCAACTACATTTCGGCGGAACTAACTGCCTAAAACTTTAAGGTCAGAAACAAGAAACAAGAAAATCTGAAAATAAATTATTTTGCTCCGAAAAGTAAGTAAAAATCTTTCCAGTCTAGACGGAGTTACAAATTACAAGACGGTACTCTCCAAAATCACCGCCGTTGGGACCTAACTTCTAACAGAGATTGTAGGTCTAATTGTTTTTAAGGGAGAAATCTGAAAAATAAATTAAAATAATAAATATTATTGTCCCAAAATTCATGGTGGGAGTTTCAAACTATTATATGTATTAAATGGAAAGAGATACATATATTAAACATGAATTAAATTAAAGAATAACTCAGACAATTTCTTCTACATGTTTATCGACGTTCTATGTGCGCTCCAATGGTGACTCTGCAAACAGTATTCCATTTCCTCCCACTCTCGACCACTCAGGAGTGACAAATGCAGCAGCAGCTTCCTTGATTCACTCTTTCAAGTGTTGAATGTTTTGAACACGAACACTGTAGGCGCTTTGCTTCATATTTTTTTTTTCCTTGGAACTACAGCCCCAGTGAGCCTAGGCCTACCTCCATGAACTTCTCCGTTCACTTCTGTTTTTCTAGATCCTAGACATACGGTAGGACTCCTTGGGTGGGTGATCAACTCTTCGCAAGGCCTCTACCTGTACACAAACACAGAAAAACGCACACAAACATCCATGCTCTGAGTGGGATTCGAACCCACGATCCCGGCTTCCGAGCGAGCGAAGACAGTGCATGCCTTAGTCCGCTCGGCTACCGTGAGCGGCTCTTTGCTTCACATACCCACAGAAATAAAAATCCATATGTCAGGTCCGGAGAATGTGGGGACCATTTCTTCCATCCGCCCCTCCCAATCAATATATGTATTTAATGGTAAAAGCAATATAAAAAAAAACCTTAAGAGAAACATGAGAATTATGTATATATAATGAAGAAAATAAACAATTATGTAATAACACATATGTTTCTCAGATCGAGACTTCACATAAAGGATACACATATTTGTCCGAGACGAAAATTCTCTCATCCACAATTATGTTGATATTTCTAAGTGACTTTTCTATTTAAGATGATATAGCTTTTAAATTATTCTCAACATGAGGCCATGGTAAACCTAAGTCTTGAGCAGAGTGTAGGCCTACACTGTTCTCACAAATCTTAATGCTATGGATCATATTGTACACGGGGTTTCATTCTGTACGTGACCAAAATTATATTTATCTTATATAGGACACAGGAAGGATTGTTACAAGCTGGTCGGAACGGTGGCATTTTGCATTGATATTCTTTATGTTTTGAAAAAAAAAATTACTACTAATTTATGCTTCAATATATCAATCGAATTTATTGAAAAAGAAATGTCGATAAATCGGTATTTTTAATAAATGACCAATAATAGCTTTTTAAATAGGCCTGTACAACATTTAGATGATATATGAAACAGTCGGTAGTAACAATCATTCAATTCCTTACACAACTATTTACAAATATTTTAAAATTTAAGTAGGATACTTGGCTCAACATATTCTCAGTATTCTGAATTCTAAAAGGAGTCTAAAATATTTGAGAGAGTACGTCATAACTCGAGCAGACCCCCTTGCGGAAGGAAAGTACTGGGTGTTCAAGATAATGGTTTTACATAATATTTTTTAAAATATAATGTATTATCTTTGTAATGATGACACACCCCCACAGATATTTTAGACTCACAGCAACAGTTTTTTTTTAAGAATTAGCGATTAAAATCCCTGTCCAATTATCGTTAGCAGTCAGTAATAAAAATAGAAGGTATTTTTAATCAAGTGGCCCAAATTGGTGTGGAGAGCTGGAGATGATGACGGATCTGCAGTTATAGAAGTCACCAACTGAGATGCCCTACAACTGTATGGACATATCACACTATTAACCTATTCTCTTATGTAGGTTTGCTTACATTATAATTTTGTGATTATAATTTACGTGTCTCCGGTTGTGAGGAGTTATTAGAGAACTGTTCACATAAATTGTGTAAACTACATAGGAAGTTTCAGAACAAAAAATGAAGATCTAATGTTCAGGTATTTGAATTGTGATTTTAAGATCGCTATGATGTTCAAAACTGGAAATAATCATTTACTAATATACACTTTACAGCTAAATACGATCTTTTATTAGTAATCTCAAGGGTGCTTGCTAGCACAGTGTTATACAGTACATTCAGTTAAGGAGGAAACTTCGCAACACCGCTGACCCGGCCCAACATTCCTCACAGATTGATACTGTAACTGCTGATAGCAGAATGAGTCATTAGTGCTGATAAACGCACGCCGTTACAGTTACAGCAGCGATCTGTAGGGAATATCGGGCCCGGTCAGCGGTGTTGCGAAGTTTCCTCCTTAATTGAACGCCCTGTATGAAGAATATTAATTTGACTCGAATTAGAATTCCCTACAGGATTTGCTTGGTTCTTTGCCTCTGTGCAACAGACTCGGGTAGTTATTCCTTCTCCTCCTGTGGGATTTTAATTCTATAACTTTCTATTTTTATTACCGCACGCAGCTCTGAACAAAACAAAAAATTACACATAAATACAGAGCATTTATTAAAGTGGATGTAACAGTTTGTAGAAAGCCCCTTAAGAAGCATTCAGGCTGTGTCACATTTGTCGGAAACAACCGGAGGCTGGCTCCGAGTATTAACTAGAGAAGTCGGAAGGAAACGTGACGGCGAGTGAGTGACGGTTTGTCCAGCAGAGGAAGAGTGAAACAGAGTTATAAGGTTACCGTGTTGCGAGATTCACTCCATTCGAATTTTCAATTCAGTGTAATACTAACTATATCGCGCTACCGGATTTTATTATTAATATCAATAGATATTTTAATTACTCTCATCGCATTGTCTAATTAGATTTTCTTTAGATAATAATGCGTTTCACTGTCTTAAGTCCAACACCACAACTTTGTTCACCCACGGTAGGAAATATCCAGTACAGACAGAAAAGCCTGATTGATGTTGCCTGATTTAAGCTCTCATCAAGCGTCAGTCGATGATAAGGCGCAGTTGTCATCCGCCATCTTGCTTGATTTTTAATATAGATGTACAAATATTAAGGTTCTTGGTAATTAGATGTTAATAGTGCATTTTCTTGTGAGAGTTTCTCTGACGTATTTGCTTAAGGATTCTACAGTCTTAGGTACAAATTTAATTTCACAACTATTTACATATGGCAAATTTTTCTTCTTCTCTGCTAACGGAAAAATAGGTTTCTACTTTTACGGAAATTCAGATATGTAAGATTTGGGGTTTTCACTGAGGTGACTATGAAGAATGCCGTCTTCTGAGATGTGGCGCTGTGTAGATATTGTGTAAACTGACGTTTCGGAGGAAAATATCGCCTCCATCTTCAGGGTATAAAAATTCGCGACCGAGGGACCAGCTTGAGTATGTGGCTGCAGCCACATAAGACCTACACGGCGCCTCATCCCAGAAGATGGCATTCTTCAATTCAAGTGTAGTTCCTTTTCAAAACCTCTCACCGAGAAAGAAATGCATCTGCTCATTGCTCATGCAAATGAGCGTGTAAATTCGTCTTAGGAATGCGTGAACATTTCCAAACTGCCGAACTTATATTTCCCTATGTCAGTTAATAGCAAAGATGCTAGATTATAACAGACCGTAGGAAAACGGTCTGAAAGTGCTGTATTTTAATGCATTACAAACAAATTTTAATACATTCCAAATTCTTTAGTTATATATTCAAATAAATGTTAATTTGTTAACCCAATAACTGTTATTTATTCAGTTGTACTAAATTAGTTTAATTTTCTTCATGTTTCAGTGCATACCTTCTCCTGGGGAAATCCTGTAGCATATTTATCACCGACTTAAAACAAGTAAGACATTATTTAAATATTTTTAAATTTTATGGAAAATAAATATAGTTGTAGAAAGCAGTCTTCTGGGATTTGGCACCGTGTATATGTGGTGTTAACCGACGTTTCGGAGGAACGTATCGCCTCCATCTTCAGGGTAGAAGGAAAAATATAAGAAATCCGCAAGCGAAGAGACCGTGAGAACCGGTAAAAGCAGACTGCTTTCTTCATAGTCACCGCCGTGAAAGCCTCAAATCTTACATAAATATAGTTCTTATCGGGGGATGGGACGCTTAATAACAGTTTTACATTTTTGAGACTGTCTTCGTCATTAGTCTGACTGTACACTTCAGTCTTCAGGGGGACTGATGATCTGTAACTGATGATAGGGAGACAGTCTCTTACTTGTCACATTTTTATTCACTGTCGACAGAGCTGATCGCCTGAAAACACTTCATTCGAAATTATCATCCTCTTCCATATACCTGTTGGGAATATTTCATTCATACAAGTATATCCTTTCCGTAAAGTTACCAGTTGTTTTCTAAGAAACCTCTGCAATTCATAAACGCAAAGAGAACTCAACACTGTTAGTATGACAAGACTTATTTGTAATGTAAGACTTAGAAAATTCTAGGATTTAAATAATAAGTTACTTAGAGTTTACACAATAATATTAAAAATAAATATCACCAATTACATAATAAAATTGCATATTAAACGTCGAAAATAAATTATTTTCCATCTAAACATCACATAATAAACTTGTATATTAAATATGAGGTGAAGCCCTGCGCATTTTAGTTCTCAGTAATGTACTTGGTTTAGTGAATTGTCAACTTCAAGCTAATTTTGCTTTAACCTTTGGAAATAAGCCACTCAGTAAAAATTTGACAAGAGGCTAGATGTACCTTGGAACGGCCTGAAGGTAAGGGTCAAAAGAAAAATAAATGCCCTTGTCGGAAATCGAATCCGGAATGTTCAGTTTAAGGGTAATCACTGGATCAGTTAGTCAGAATCACACCTGTATCTTAAAATAATAATATAGCCCAGAATTTAAAGCAATAAACAATTATGTATGAAGGCTTATGAAACCATAAGAAATTATATGGATTTTTTCTCTATGTCTTTACATACTATTTTGATCCTTACAGATATTTAGACCTGTCTTACAGACTTTCTTAATATCTGAACTAACTAGAATAGATCGTACAATTTCCTAGAAGAAAGCAAGGTTACATAATACTGCACTCAATACATTACAGCACGATTCTGTATGCTTCTAGATAAGCATCTGTAATTTCCGAATGTAATCTTGGACCCTAATTGGTATACGATTTCATGTTTGCTCCGTGGAAAGAACACGTTGTTTTTGTTGGTATAATTCACGTAACAAGGCCTTAATAACTCACTCAGAATCCTTTCTATCTCGTCAGTTCATTCTATTTTACTTGTATCGGAAACATGAGTCATGCTTGTTCATTTACATTACATGAGCACTGAACCTACACAGTGACAACGCGGTCTTGTATAGATGCATGAATATAGCTTGTGTTTCACGGTGTTATAAACATTATCACTGTTAACGAACATTGAATCTTCATTTCAAAAATTGTCACTATTGTTTCTTCTAAAGATATGTACTACATCGTTACTTTCTTGCGTCTCTGGATGCTGAAGTCTTCAGTGTAACCATGATCATGGTCGCTTCACCGACAATCTGAAAATAAAAAATATCTATTAGAATTGTCATATTTATATCAAAAAATTTTAAATCTATTTCAAGAAGAAATTGTTATGGAAGAGGATATGACGCCAAATGAGATGAGTAAGAACTAGGCTTGTAAGCCACAAGTTTCTCACAGAGGTGCTTTGGAGCCTGTGTAGCTCAGTTGATATAGCGACGTGCTGGACGGTCGGAGTTCATTCCCGGCAAAGACAACAGATTTTTCTCTACACCATACAGTCCAGACCGGCTCTGGTGCCCACACAGACTCCTAACCAATGGGTACCGAGAGCTCTGTCCCCGAGGTTAAGCTGGTGGGTACGTGAAGCAGACAACTCCTATCCATCTAGTGCCGACGTGCATAATGGCGGAGATACACCTCCATTACCTCAAATATCTTCCTGGCGTGGTGCTTAATTAATTAAACACAGGCACAACTTTTGAAGGGAACGGGGTAGCGTAGTTGGTTGAGACACTATGCTACAAGCCGGAAGGTCGCTGCTTTGAGAGCGATGATGTGATTTTTTTAATTTACTTACTCTTTGAAGCCGCACTATGGCCTTAGGGTCGACTCAGACTCTTAACAGAAATGAGTACCAGGAATCTTCCTGGGGGTAAAGGGCGGCCGGCGTGTAAGGCCCACACACTTACCGCCATCTGTGAGCCGATTGTCTAGAAAATGTGGGGGCCTCAACGTCTCACAAACCTATGGGCCTTCACGGCCTGTTACAGGGATAGCTTTACCTTTGCCTTCACAAGGCAGAACTTTACATTTAATTCTCACATATATACGAGTATATATATTGCAGTTCAGCCATTCTCGTAATTGTGTATGTTGTGCTTTGTTGAGTGTGGAACTCAGTCACTAATGAGAGAATGCAATTAGGGGACATTTCAGAATAAAGCGCTGAGAAAAATACTGGGACCTAAGATAGGTGTGAAAATTGGTCTCTGACATTGAGGGAGGAACAAAGACTGAGGGTGTTTGAGAACAGGGTGTCGAGGAGAATATTTGGACCGAAAAGAGATGAAGTGACAAAAGTTGGAGAAAACTGCACAATGAGGAACTTCATAACATGTATTGCTCTTCAAGTATAATTAGATTGATCAAGTCAAGGAGGATGAGGTGGGCATGGCATGTAGCACGAATGGGGGAGAAGAGGATTGCATATAGGATATTGGTGGGGAAGCCAGAAAGAAAGAACCACTACGAAGACCAATATATAGTGGGTGGATAATATTAAAATGGATCTTAGAGGGATAGAATGGATGGTATGGATTGGATTAATCTCGCTCAGGATAGGGACCAGTGGAGGGCTCTTGTGAACACAGTAATGAACCTTCGGGTTCCATAAAATGCTGGGAAATTCTTGAGTAGCTGCAGAATTGGCGGCTCCTCCAGAAGGGCTCAGCTTAATGGACTTAGTTAAGCTGGAATATGTAGAAAAATGCGGAGAATATTGCACAATAAATTGGCTTATTTTTTATGTAAAAATTTTAGGATTATAAAATAAAGGAGACTGGGGTTGGCGGTGCATGAAGCACACAAAAGGGGGAAGTTAGGAAAATCTAAAGGGAAGAAATGACGTAGAGATCAGGACACAGTAAGGAAAATCTGTAAACAAGAACTGTGTCAGTATAGGGTAAATTTACGATTTCTTGCCAACGTAGTTATGAAAGATTTGCGGTTCTCACAACGGTTGAGTATGAAGCGTTCTACCTTTGGGATATAACACCATTTATTCCATTGAAAATCAACCAATGTTTCGAAGGAACTTATTGCCTTCATCTTCAAGGTCAAAGAACAAGCCTGGAAAGAAACTAACGTTCTACGTGCCACCTCATTCACTTTGATTTCTTGCTTGACTCATTCTTCCAACCAGTAGATGAAGGCGACATGTACATCCGAAACGTCTGTCGACTTTCAACGCATTACACAGCGTTACAGCGCGCTGTAATGAGCCTTCGGCTAATAAAGCGAGAAATTTCTTGAGCAGCTGAGAGACTGTGAGTCTTACAAGGAGAGTCAGGGAGTTAGCTGATTGCTGGTTTGCGTCGAATATAATCATTTCACGTTTTCATCCACGTAACTGCATTGTATCCCTGTGTGGCAAGTGTTGGAACAGTCCCTGGTGGAGCTACCACTAGAGTGCAGCTCGACCTTGAAGAGAGACTGTGAGAACGGATTTAGAAACTAAGAAGGCGGCGGTAAAAAAAAGTGATAATTGGAGATGATTAAGACATGTTTAGAAAAATAAGAAACCTACCAGAAGCGAGAAACCAATGAAGACAGGAAATCGACAATGAAGGTGAAAGATTCATTGTTTACTGTTTTAAGAAAGGTAAAGCTATCCCTGTAAGAGGCCATGGAGGCCCATAGGGTTGTGAGACGTCGAGGCTCCCTCATTTTCTAGACAATCGGCACACAGATGGCGGTGAGGTTGCCAGCCTTACTCGCAGGCCGCCTTTTACCCCCAGGAAGATTCCTGGTACTCATTTCTCTTAGAGGCTGAGTCGACCCCGGAGCCATAGTGCGGCTGGAAGTATTAGGTCAATTGAAAATATCCACCTCATCGGGACTCGAAACTGCTACCTTCCGGCTTGTAGCATAGTGCCCCAACCAACTACGCTACCGCGTGCCTCCTGTTAACTGCTATATTCTGAAAGTCCACAAGTTTCAATTTCAAAACATGTAGATCGCAGTGAATCATAAATATTCATGAAGTGAAAGATTAAAGGAGATTTGTCTGTTTTATAATTAAATGTTAGGGAGCAAAGAGCTAGGATAGCTCAGTCGGTATAGCGACAGGCTACGGGATGGAAGGACGGAGTTTAATTCACGGTAGGGGCAAGGATTTTCTCTTCATCAGATCGTCCATTCTAGTTATGCGGCCCAACCAGCCTCCTGTGCAGTGGATGCTTTTACTAAGGATAAAGCGGCAGGGACGTGAAGCTGACCACTCAACTCTATCAAATTCCGAGGTCAAGAACGGTGGAACTATCCCTCTACTCCCCCATAAGTCATAATGGCGTGGTGCTTAGTTCATTAATCACAAGGAAGCTTTACCTTTATATGTATAGCTGTATATTATTATAGAGTGATCGACTCAGGGAGGATGGAGTTGTTGGGTATGTAGAATGTATCGGAGAAACTAAGATGCTGATACAGCTTTAGTAGGGAAAATTGAAAGGAAGGGACCACCTAGGAGATGAGATATAGGAGTAAATGCGAGGATAATACAGAGGGTATAAATGTGAGAATGTAGAAGGGATGAATCTGGCTCCTAGAGCGTTCAGTAGCGGTTTTTTATCAACACGCCAATGAAGGATTCGACAAAGGGCGGATAATTTGCTAAGGAGTTGGGTTGCTGTAACATTTCCAGTAATGACTAGGCTCTATGAAGTTAGTTGGGTAGGGTCACACATGCATTTCCTTCCCAGTCATAAGAAGAATGTATGACTGAAGCAGGCCGACTTCATAACGGATGGTGAGTAATGACCATTTTAAATCCGCGAGACCATATTCCGAGAATTATTTTACGAGTCGTTAATCAGATAATATTGTAAATGCGATTGGGGGGTCAGAATAATTTCCATTTTATTGCATCAAGGGTAACCGCCTCTGTGGTCAGCGTTCCTGGCTACAGATCCAGAGGTCCGGGTTCTATTCCCGTCGCTACCAGATTTTTCTGAGAAGTAAGGGGTCTGAAACGGGGTCCACTCAGCCTCGCGATGATAATGGAGAAGCTATTTCAAGGAAATAGCGGCTCCGGTCTAAAAAAACCGAAATTAACGGCCGTGGGGATCCGTTGCGCTGACCACGCGACACACACTATCCGCTAAAGCTGGCACTAACTTCGCCGAGAAGCAGCGGTCGCTAGGTCGGTATAGTTCTCTTGCGGACTGAAATCACGGAGTTCTTTCTTGTTTTTTTTTTTTTTTTTTCTTAATNAAGGGTTCCTCTCTCATGCCCATTAGCCCCCCCCCCCCCCCAAACCCCTTTCACAAGTGTGACGATGGTGATTCTAGGTTCGGATTGACTCTTCTGGGGCCCACCATATCAGTAGGGATACGCCAGATTTTCACCCCGTGGTTACAGCGGCCGATTCGTGAAGATGACCTCTCACCTCCATCTAACGCTGAGGTCATGAATGCGCGGAATTATATCTCCACTCTTCCATACGTCGTCTTGCTCTTGTGCTTAATTAAGCACAGGGAAAACTATCCTTTAATGAAGAAATATGAAACGTAGCGAAATTTATGCGCGAAAGAAGTATTTTCATGCAATACTCATAAAAAGTTAACAAAAGGTATGAAGGTGTCACTGTGCTTAATTAATTAAGCACTATGCCATGAATACATATGGGAGAGTGAAGGTATAGCTTCACCATTCTTGACCTTGTCAGTAGGAGGTGAGGGGCCAGATTCACGCCTCGGTCGCTTTACCATCAGGGTGAAAGTCACCGGTGCACATTAGATAAGAGATTGGGTGGGTCTGACCACAGGTGTGGACGCTGTAGAGAAGAGAATCATCTTTGACCCTGCGGAGAATTGAACCACCGCTGTCCAGCAAGTAGTCCATCTCTATACCGATTGTTTTATCCTGACTCTTTCTATATTCATACGTTTTTTTAATCCCAACATTGTTGCAGAAAATCAGATCATGAGCAAATGTACAATAATCGGCAAATTAACATTGCAACGATAGAGGATACAGAATCCCATTAAATTCAGTCTTTAATCGACGTGGAAAACTGGAGAAAAGGGGGAAACAGCTATATTCGTAAACCCAACTCAGAGCTTAATCTCGGAAATAAGCGGCCTTACTGAGCGGGACCGAATCCATTAGACATTTATTAAAAAGCTGCTTTTGTTGCAACCGAGTTTCTGCAGATATGACTTCGGACGTCCGCGCTTCACTTAAATTAATTCGGTGCGAAATAGAGTAGGAGTTAGTCATATACAGTAACTGTGCATACAGCACTCCGCCCGGT